GCGGTGGGGTTATGGTATGGGCAGGCATAAGCTACGGGCAACAAACACAATAGCATTTTATCGATGGCAATTTGAATGCACAAAGATATCGTGACAAGATCCTGAGGCCCATTGTCGTGCCATTCATCCCTCGCCATCACCTCATGTTTCAGCATGATAATGTACGGCCCCACGTCGCAAGGGTCTGTACACAATTCCTGGAAGCAGAACATGTCCCAGTTCTTCCATGGCCTGCATACTCACCAGACATGTCAACCATTGAGCATGTTTGAGATGCTTTGGATTGACGTGTACGACAGCGAAGGAGATGCATGAGGCAAATGGTGGTCACACCAGATACTGACTGGTTTTCTGATCCACTCCCCTACCTTTTTATATTTTTGACAACTTTTACTTTACTCCACTACATTCTTAAAGAAAATTATGTACTTTATACTCCATACATTTTCCCTGACACCCAGAAGTACTAGTTACAATTTGAATGCTTAGCAGGACAGGAAAATGGTCCAATTCCCTGGTCATTCCTGCTGCCTCTGATCTGGCGGACTCACTAAACACAAATGCTTTGTTTGTAAATTATGTCTGAGTGTTGGAGTGTGCCGCTGGCTATCCGTAAAAAATAAAAATCGTGCTATCTGGTTTGCTTAAGATAAGGAATTTGAAATTATTTATACTTTTACTTTTGATACTTAAGTATATTTGGGCAATTACATTTACTTTTTATACTTAAGTATATTTAAAACCAAATACTTTTTGACTTGTTCTCAAGTAGTATTTTACTGGGTGACTTTCACTTTTACTTGAGTCATTTTCTATTAAGGTATCTTTACTTTTACTCAAGTATGAAAATTGGGAAGTTTTTCCACCACAGTCATTATTTCATATTAAGTCTACATTCTGCAACTCTGTCTCTTTGTTGATGTTTCTACACCTAATAATGTGCACACTAATAAAGCAGCTCACAGTTTGCATGTCAGCATTTTTTTTCCTAGGACAACTGAGATGCAGAGCAGGATCAACTAGGGAATCATCTTGTAATGTGAGCACCAGTGGAGGCTCCTTAGAGGAGGAAGGGGAGGACCATCTTCAGTGAATTTAATAAAAACACAAATTGTAAAACATAAAAAAAGTTATCATTTTTAGATGAAACTATACTAAATATATTCAATGTCACCAAATACATTTTTTAAACTCTGTTTTGCAATGAAGGTCTACAGTAGCCTCAACAGCACTCTGAAGGGTAACACCATGGTGTAGCTGGAGGACAGCAAGCTTCCAACCTCCTCTGGGTACATTGACTTCAATACAAAACCTAGGAGGCTCATGGTTCTCACCCCCTTCCATAGACTTACACAGTAATTATGACAACTTCTGGAGGACGTCCTCCAACCTATCAGAGCTCTTGCAGCATGAACTGACATGTTGTCCACATAATCAAAGGATCAGAGAATTAATCTAGTACTGAAAGCATAAGGTACAGCTAGCTAGCACTACAGTGCATAAAATGTGGTGAGTAGTTGACTTAAAGAGAGAAAGACAATAGTTGAACAGTTTTGAACAAATTCATTTCCTCAAAAATGAAGGAGAAGCAAGAGAGAGAGAGATTTCGTAATTCTTTTCACTTTCAGTTTCACTTACTTAGCTAGCTAAAGTAGCTACCTAGTTTAGCCTACTCAAACACCCTGCTCAAACAGAGGGATGCTATGTTAGCTAGCTAGCTATGACTATCCAACACAACACTGGAACTCTTCCAAGTCAAGGTAAGCTTTTGGTTTTACTCATTTATTGCCACCGGGGCCCGCCAGTGTGACTGCTAAACTGCTTACGGACTATACAATAACGTTACTGCATGATTGTAGCTGGTTTACTAACGTATTAGTTATTTTAGCTATGATGACTATGACGTTACTTCAGCTAATATGGTGACAACGATGTAGGCTGTGTGTAGCAGTTATGATATGGTTTGGCTTGGAAAGGTTTTTTCGCCTGGTCATGTACAGCTTATGTGTTGTGCGTTGAGGTCCCCAAACGAAGGTAAAAGGTGAGAGGAGGAGAGCACATAGATGCGAGAAGGAATACAACGTGGCTCCTATGAATGTGAACTGTGTTTACGTGTGACCAGGGGTGTATTCATTCCGCCTATTCTGTTCCAAAAAAAAATCTTAAACGGAAGCAAACGGAACGAAATGGGGATAAACATACCTGAATTTGTCCAATAGAAACTCTTGTTTGCAACTGTTGGACTAATGATTACACCCTATATCAGCTAGATGCAGGCAAGAGTGTGCAAGGCGGTATTGAATGTGTCGGTATTGAATGTGTCGCTGTCTGTCCATGTGTCACTGTCTGTCACCTAAACATTTTCTCTTGAGCTGTGTGCACCTACATTGTAATCTTTCATTCATAGGCTAGGTTGTAGCAAGCTCATGATGTGTATAGGGAAAATTTGAGTATCATGTAGTAGCCTAAACCTATCCATTTTACATTGAGCTGGATGAATGGAATATGAATGACAGTCATCTAATATGCTGTAATAGAAATAAGTCCATGGGAAAAAAAAATATCCTCCCTCATCTTAAACGGCACTGACCGCCACTGGTGAGCACCCACGTCCTGGGGTTGAGGATGGACAGAATGACAGATTTGGGACAAGGACGTCGCAGAATGTGAGCCCGTCCAAGTTTTTAAGATTGTAGCAGTCGTGTAGTGTATGCCCAGCATAACCCTTTTCCTAAGCCTAACCTAATTCTCCTAACCTGCTGCGTAAATTCTCGAATCTGCTACGAAAAGCCAAATCTGACAAAGCTATATCCCATCTAGTCAAAACCCTGATTTCTTCTTCAATGAAAACACTCATTTTGAAGCCGACCTGTCAGACAACTCTGGTATAAATCTGGTATTTTTATTATTCCCAGATTGTGGCCAATATTGTGAAATCATTGTCTCGTTTGTTGTATATTTGTATGCTATTGAATAGTGGTAACAGTTTTTGAATCTTGCACCCCAATAAGATTGTTTCTGCAGTTAATTTCTTGTCTTACTGTCATTTGTTAGATTGGTCTATTTTTAAATGCTATTTGACAATTGCATATGTCAGAAAACTGACTCCAGTGCTTATTTAAAACCAGAAGAGAATTGCTGATGGTCCTGGGTGGCGCAGAGGACAAAAGGACGGCGCACAATTGGTCCAGCGCCGTCCGGGGTAGGGGAGGGTTTGGCCAGTGAGGTTTTCCTTGGCTCATTGTGCTCTAGCGCAGTGGTTCCCAACCAGGGGTACTAGGACCCCTGGGGGTATGTGGCCTATACACAGGGGGTACTTGAGAAGACTCATGAGACCATAGGCCTACTGGTAAAGTTCACATGAGGGGGTACTTCAGGGGTACTCCGGGTAGAGCAAAATTCAGTTGGTGGTACAGGGCCGGGCACCTGCAAACTGACCCTGGGCTGACACCCGGGTTAAGTGAGCAGTGTGATAAGAAGTAGGCAGCCAGGCGGGTCATGCTTCAGAGGATGCATGACTCGACCTTTGGCCCTTCTGAGACCATTGAGGAATTGTAGAGATGTGCCAAGGGACCTAATTCGGGGAGAAAACGGGGTAAAAAAAATAAGCTTATGGCCATAGCACTGGGTTAGTACTGGGATAGGAGACTGCTTGGGAATACCAGGTGCTATAAACCAAAAAATATACAAATAAAATAAAAAGAAGAGAAATGCTGAAACACTTCTGCACTTATTCTGTCATGCACTGAAAAATCACAAGAGGGCACTAGATCATAACATTCAAGTATCTTCTCGCCTCATCATCATTACCGCCCCTGTTAAATTATGTTGGTGGATCCAGACACTAATACACATTAGTCCCATTTAAACTTGTGATAATATCCAGCTGGAGCGAGTTTATGTAACGTGTTTATGAAGTCCTCGTGCCAAGCAGTTGTACTCACTGGCACTACTTGTGATTTACTTATGCAATAACCTCTCCTACACTTTGTAGAGAGGAGTGTGCATAACTCATAATGATGTGTGTGTGTGTGTGTGTGTGTGTGTGTGTGTGTGTGTGTGTGTGTGTGTGTGTGTGTGTGTGTGTGTGTGAATGCATAACCACAATGAACTCTGTTTTTTTTATCAAAGAAAAACGACTCTAATTGATTCCAAATAGGCTATATTTGAAAAAAGGAAATGTACAAGAAACAGTAGCAGTCATAAACCATAGTAAATTACATGTACAAAACTATACTAAACACAAAATGTCCTTCATGCTGTATAAATGCTTAAAGGCATTGTCTTGAAACAATGTTAATAATATCTTAAAGAGCAGTAGGTAGCTTAGTGGTTAAGAGCATTGGGCCAGTAACTAAAAGGTTGCTAGTTCAAATCCCTGAACCAACTAGGTGAGAAATCTGTCTATGTACCTTTGAGCAAGGCACTTAACCCTAGTTGCTCTGGAAAGAGCGTCCTGCTAAATGACTAAAATGTGAATACATGGCAGTGATATACTCTTCATTAATGTCCAGTATTTCACTGAATAAACTAAACGTAGACTGCAGTGTGATTGAGATGTTTTCTGTTGATTTATTGCTTCTAGAACAGTGTAAAAATTCCTGCTCCTTTTCCGTCTGCTATAACATTTTCTCACAATATATAAATGGATTAAAGGGAACTTTTACATTAAAGTGAAACCATATAACGTGGTGGTGTGAGGGAGGTTACTTCGGTTGAACTCAGGCCAGAGGAATGGTTTACTTTGTTCTTTAAACGATGGTGCCTGTACTGTAGTCTTCCCAGATATTAGTTTGGCTGCTGTGGTTGTTTTCCTCTTTCTCCTCCTCCCTTCTCTAACATCATTCCTCCCTCCTTTCATTTCCTCCCTCTCATCCCATCTCCCACCTCTTGTTTTGGCTCGCCCTTCCTCCCCCTCACTCACCCTCCTTTCTCCCTCTCTCTCTTTCTTACCCCCTTGTCTTTCTCTCTTTCTGCCTCTTCCTCCCCTCTCTCACCGTTCACACCCAGACCTTTCCCTTCCCTCCTCCCTCCCCTCCCTCCCCACCGCCTCCACAGCAGCCCCCTCCCAGGCCACGGTGCCGTGTAGCGGGCAGGTTCTTGTAGACAGCCCTGGAGTAAGGTATGAAGCAGAGCCCCAGCTGGAGGTGGCGTGCCAGGCGGCAGTAGGCAGCCAGAGCCAGGACCAGGAGAGGGGTGACCAGGAGGAACCCGACCACCAGGAGGGCCACACAGCCCCCGTCGCTCAGCAGGTCCGAACAGTAGAGGGACGTCCCCTGAGGGCGCACCTGGGTAGAGGGGAGGAGAGGGGACAGGAGAGGAGAGGAGAGGAGAGGAGAGGAGAGGAGAGGAGAGGAGAGGAGAGGAGAGGAGAGGAGAGGAGAGGAGAGGAGAGGAGAGGAGAGGAGAGGAGAGGAGAGGAGAGGAGAGGAGAGGAGAGGAGAGGAGAGGAGAGGGACAAGGGTTGTTTATGTTACTGTTTTTCACATGACCGTAAGAATGTGTTGCACCAAAAACAAAGAGATTGACATAATGTTCTTATAACTGTATTGTTACATTAATAATGCAATGTAAATGCAACAGAAATGCATTGATCGCAAATGTTGCTAAAACAAGCTAGTTTCTAATAAGCTGATGAAGCTAACAAAGCTTTCTGTTGGTGTCTTCTCAGAACAGATGGAGAGAGTCATTTAGCGCCCATGTTCAAGAGAAGTGAAGGATGGAGGAGTCAAGGAGGAATGCAGGGACAGACAGAAGGAGGAGAGGAGAGGAGGGGATGCAGGGAGACGATGACGTGCCCCATGGTGGAATGTGTATCTGAGGGCAGAACAGACACAGAGCAGATTGCAGTCTGACACACACACACGAAGAAGGAGGGGCCCTTCCATAGATTAAATGTGATTAATTGCCATTCTTACATCACAGCTGTAAAACATCACAATAATATCTATGGAACTTTATATTTAAAATGGCTGCCTGTTGGTGTGGTATGTGATGTTGTTAGTGTGAGGGAGAAGAGGTAGAACGGGTAGCAGAGAATGGAGAGAATGTGTGAGGAACGCACAGGAGGGAAAATGGAGGGGCTGTCATCCTTCCTTATCTGCATGTGGTAAGCAAGTGGAGGGGGATGGAGGGAGGGAGAGGAGATGGAGAGGAGATGTAGAGGGGAGGCACAGAGTGGTGAGGGAGGGGTGGTGGGAAGGAGGTTGCTATGTCCATGTTTGTTTCTACTTTCTGAGGCCTCTTCAGGGGGGGTTATGTCCCACAGCCAACCTTCTGAAAATATTTTATATTCATAGCTCTTATTGGGGCATGGTTGTGTGTAGTGTATTTTGGGTGTCTAGCTCTGAAATCATGCAACTGTATCATGCAACTTAAAGTTCATGCAGCTGCTTAGAGAAGATATTCCCTTTCCATTTTTCAGAATTGTTGGTGAATGTTTTTCAGAGTTTGTGGAATTCAACATTTTGTGACAACGAACTGCGAGATCAGGATAACTTGTTTAGCTAGCTTTAACATTCCTCCCTTCCTTCCGTTCTTTCTCATCCCCCTCTCTCCTTTGTTTCATTCCTCCCTCTCTCTCCCTCTCCACCCTAATCCCTCCTTAATCTGGTGCCACAAGGTTCCTAATTGGTTAGAGGGGAGGGGAATCCTGTAACATGTCTCTGTGAACACACACACACACACACACACACACACACACACACACACACACACACACACACACACACACACACACACACACACACACACACACACACACACGCACACACGGTCATTAGTAAGGTGGTCAGTACTTCTGTGGCTTTTTTTCCCATTTACACTCTCTGACCCACTATGACCTGTAGGGGTGGCAGGGTGGGACCCTAAAACTAGTGGTACTCAGTGGGGTCAAAGGTGTGTGCTCACGCGCATGCGCGTGCTTCTGCGTGCGTCTGTCTGTCTGTGAGCTCAAGTGTGCTAAATTCATTTTGCACTTAATGTTTTCCTATTCTGTCTGTGAATCTGTGCATGCTATTTTAAGGTTTTCTTCGACATAGCCTTGTCCTTGATTTGTAGGAGTTGGCTAAAGCATGTAGATATGGGACCAGCCAGGCTAGCTAATCCCTACCTCCCTCTAGTCTTTAGTCTTTCCCTTGACTCCTAACCTGTCCAGTCTGTCTCAACCCTGTCTGCATCCAAAATGGCATCATATTCCCTATATAGAGCACTACTTTTTACCAGAGCTCTATGGGCCCTGGTCTAAAGTAGTGCACTATAAAGAGAATAGGGTGTCATTTGGGACGCAACCCCTGTTCTTAAACATCTGAGAAATACTGAGAAACTCTGGTTGATCTGCTTATGAAACGCATCACAGAGGGCCAAACTCCACCCTCATCTTCTGCTAAAATATTCCAAACTCATGGTGGATGGTGAAAGTTTAGTAATGAGTTTTATGATTTACAGTCAGTCCCTCCTGAAATGTCAGCATATATCACTACTCTGTATACCATATGATTATTTAATATTATTCTGATCTATTATCTAGTTAGTTACTCATGACGCTACCTCCCGAAGGATGTAATGTTATAATTGTGTTAGCAGACACACCTTCACTCAGACATATACAGTAGATGAGTTCTGAATGTGAAATTGAAATGACACTTGGGAATTTTGGAGGAAGAACGTATGAATTAAGTAGGAAAAGTAACCTTTCCTCTGAATTTTCCCTCAGGTTAGTCCTTAGAGAGCGTCTCTGCCTGAATAGTAGAAGAAGAAGAAGAAGAAGGAGAATACAGACCCCATCCCTTTCCCTCCTTACCGTAGAATGACACAGGAACCCGAACACCACCATCACTATAGCCGGGGTGAGGATGAGTCCGAACACCAGTCCGGCCAGGCAGGCGTTGATCCCCGCAATGACCAAGTTCTGGGCTGTCACCAGCACCGAGCACGCCCAGCAGTCCAGAGAGCCCCTGAGCTCCAGGGGAGCGTTGCTCCCTCCTCCCCCGCTCTCGTCTGCAAAGTACGGGGGAGGCACCACCACCCCGGAGGGGGTCCCCACAGGGGCGGTGGAGGCCAGGGAGTTGGCGTGCTGGAGGTGGTGGTGGTGGTGGGGGTGATGGTGGGGGTGCATGTGGGGAGAGAGCTCCTCAGAGAGGTCAAGGGCCTGGTGGTGAGCCCCCTTCTCCAATGTGCCGCTCATACTCATGGTCAACTGGGGAAGAGGGGAGGGAGAGAGGGAGAGAGGGGAAGATGGGGCAGAGTTTAGCCAGGTTTGCTAAAGCAAAAATGGTCCCTACTTCTCGGATGTGGAAATACTGTTCCAAGCATATGTGAATGTGAAATGATTTGGCTTTTCATGAGTGGATCTTTATAGGTATAGGGTCATGCTTTTTGATTGCCAATTTGTGCAACAGAAGTCTCTACCAGTCTCAAACTCATGTCTATCGCAAACATGGTCCCTAGACATATCATAGCTGAGGTTCAGTCTTCAAAGGTAGAATGAACCAGGGAGTTCACAGGGAGGTTAGAGGACTTTATCTGTTAGAGGAAGAGGAAGGCAGGCTGCTCTTATATCTTCTATCAGAACAGGATAGTTATCTGAAAGCTGATTGGCCCAGAGGAAAGGAACCTAATTGCCAGGCAAGGGTGCACAGAGGATGATGATGGATAAGATGAAGATGAAGGGTAAGAGACATAATCAAAGGATGTGTGCGTGCATACACGTGTTGTGTGTGTGTGTGCGTTTGCGTTCGTGCTTCTGTGTGTATGCTTGTGCACGTGCCTGAATGCATTTGTTTATCTTGCTGCTGATTGCAGACTGCAGTTCATGTTTTGTTAGAAATAGAAAACTTAGAAGTAATGTCATGGCCTTATGTTCAAGACACTGTAAAAGTGTTTGAGTCTTCCAGTATGGTAAAAACAACTCCAAATCACCATAGACCAAGTTTAAAGTTTCCCTGAATCAGCGACAAGTAACAACTCCTAACTGACATGTGCCATTAACAGTGACAGGATAGCACCACCCCCTTCTCCCTTACTCAGCGTTGCCCTAACCAGCCTGAACAATGGACCAGGGTCAGTTGCCAGCCTTCCTTCCAGAAATACTTCAGACCTCAGCACCGCTTTGCACTGCTCTGCACCAATCGGCCCCAATGTGATAAATCTATCATGGCAGACCAGAAGGGCCGAGGTCTAGCACTTAACAATGTTAGTTCAGAAGTTGTGTAAAAGTGTATTGAGCAAAATTCCACAAGTGCAGGGTAGAACTAATAGCAAAGAGAAGAATACCCACAAACTTTTTGGTGGTATTTAAGTACACTCTAGAGAATTCAAGCAGTTTTGTTTGGGTATTGTTCTTCTTCCTCCTCTTAGTACTTTTAGTACGGGCACATCCAGCATTTCCACAGGTGCAGGATACAAAACCACCTGCATATTAGGTACTGGTAGGATCATGGTCATGTTGCTGCTCTCCCTCTGGTCACCCCCCCCCCCCCCCCCCCTCTGCCTCCACCCCAATGGACATGTATTTATTCATCACTGCCACAGTTGTTATGATGTATATAGTGCTATTTCTATTTGTTGTTTTTTATTACCATTTTCATTATTTTATTTCACTAGTCCTGCAAGCCTAAGATTTTCACTGTACCCTGCAATCACACCTGCAACCCTGTACATGTAACTATTAAACAATCTGAATCTGAATGAGTTTTTCCTGACCATGATAAACTCCTGGTCATAGATATAGGATATATGTTGGTATTCATCTTCTTACTTTTACCCAACAAACACACTTCACCCGCATACCTCATCCGACCGTTGACCCTGACCCTAACCACGCTAGGGAAGAGGTCCACTTGAGATGTGTCGCTGCCAGACGTTGCTACCTCAACAGTGTTCTACGTCAATCTCCCATTGTTAGTGAAGTGTTGTTGTTCAGGTCTAAGGTCGGGGGTGCAGGAAGAGTCCAACTAGCTCACTCATTGTGCCACGATATAAAATAGGCCTACACTTGGCCGCTACATCTGTTTTACACGCTGTACTTGGCTTGTTATTTTTTGAAAAATGAGGCGTTCATTGTTTTTCATAACCCTGGAGACGCTTGATCTTGATCTTGACGCTATAGAAATTCATGAATTACCCTATGGTATTTTCAAATTAGCTTCCTCTCTAGCTTGTGGTTACTAATATAGCACTGAACTATATTCAAGCTGGTCCTTGAAATATTCTGATGTTCTAATCTAGAACATTCTGAAGAAGCTCTATTGTTCTATTATTCTATTGTCTTTTTGGCTGGCAGTTGCATACATTTAACCCCTGTCTGAAACATTATCTATGCATTTCATTATCAGTGATGCTAACAAGAATAGTAATAACAAAAAAAAATGGTGAGTCTTTTTCACAGATATTAGAATAGAAGACATCTAAAAAAGAACGTTTTAGTTAGTTAAATTCCCTCCCTGTGGCTGTGGTTTCTCACTCACATTGCGTGGAGCCTGGTAGAGCCTCTCTCCGATCCTTGTGGTTCTCTTCTCTTCTTGAAGTTACACTGAAACTCTCTCTCCTTCTCTTAACCACTTATACAGGCAGGTGGACAACGTTCACTGACTTTAACAACTTCTCTGTTCTCTCTCTCCTGTCTTCCCTCAAATCTCCCCTTGCGTTTTGGCTTGAGGTTCTCACGCTTCTAGTCCTTCTGTATCAGTTCAGATTCCTTCACACTCTTGTCAGTGAAGTTGGGACCAGCTTGTATTGTAGCGGTATGCTGGTATGTTGGCCTTGTGTATCCGTAGTGGCGATCTCCTGCTGTTTCCACTCGTCGTCGTCAGTCAGGGAGAAGTCCGTGTGCTTTGTTTTTTCATCTGTTGTTCTCTCTCTGACTGCAGTTGACTACTCCAGCCTCAACGTTTTGGGTCTCAGCTCCTTAGAATCATCCCAAACTTCTGTACCTCCCTCCGTCGGTCCGCCCTCCTCTTCTTCTCCTATTCTCACTCTCTCTCTCTGTTTGATTCAAGCCCCTCTTGAGGAATTATAGGGACGCCTTTCTCTCCCGCTCTCACTCACTTCTCCCTCCCTCTCTCCCCTCCCTCTTTCCCACTCCCTTTCTTAACTACTACATTGAGTGCTTGTGCCCCCTCCTCTCACTCCCCAACCCTCTATCTCCCGTTTAACTACTATACCCAGTGCTTGCAAAGCACCCACATCTCTTCTCTCGTTCCCTATGTTAAATGTGTGTAGCACTCTGGGGGCTTTGGGGTTGGAGCTCCTCTGATAACCTGAGAAGGGATGGAGCCTGTGGAGAGAGGGAGAGCGGAGAAAGAGAGAGTGAGAGAGGGGGCGAAGGGGAGAGAGAGAGAGAGAGAGAGTGTTTATTTAAAGAGCTGCTGTGTCGCTGTGGTCTAATCAGCAGTCAGGGATGGAGCAGAGGCTGCATGGTGCCATTGACATCCCCACCATGTTACAGACAGGATCACAACCCTGGTTGGTTAGACTAACTTATTTAAAGATGTACATTACAGTGCTTTTATTACTGTACAAAGATTTCTGTAAGTACAAGTGTAACACGTTTAGGTATTACACTTTACTTACAGTAGTAGCCCCAACCCTAGCCTTTAATTTAACCCTGACCCCAACCCTAACCCTTAACCATAACCCCAACCCTAACCCTAGCTCAACCCCAACTCTAACCCTGGCTCAAACCTTTAACCTTACCCTAGCTCCAACCCTAACCCTTACCCCTAACCCTAAACTTAGCTCCAAACCTAACCCTAGCCCTTACCCTAACCCATGAGTCTGCAGCAGTGGAAGATAGCGGTGAGAGAAAGCAGCTTCACATAGGGAGGGGATGGGTGGGCCAGTTCAGCTCTGATAGTGTTTAGGGATGGGTCCTTGATTCCTCCTGAGACAGGTCAAGACCCCAGATAGAGAATGAAAGGAACAGAGGATGAAGGAGGAATAGAGGATGGATGTCATAACAACTGTTATGTGTCACAGAGATGTAAAAGATATGACGAGGTCTAGAGAGAGATGTCACGACATGATTTTCTCTTATGATGAAAAAGAACAATATCAGGAATCACTGGAGGGATCAGTGGAACAAGGGAGGAAGAAGAAGAATTTCTGAACTGATAAGAGAGCGAGTGCAGATCACAGGGATCACAGAGTAATGACTGTCGTCTAAACTGATTTTCTCCCCCTCTCTCTCTTCTCTCTCTCTCTCTTTTCTCTCTTGCTTTTCTTTCTCTCTTCTCTACTTTGAGCTGGTCAGCATTTATTTCCCTTTCCTGCTCCACTGGGATTTACCCCTCAAATCAAAGTTTATTGGTCTGTAGACGTTATAGCGGGTGCAACGAAATGCTTGTGTTACTAGCTCCTAACAGTGCAGTAAAATGTCAAACAAGTACACAAACATTAAAAAAACAATTTAAACAAGAAATCAAGAAATGTCAGAACGAATCAACAACCCAAATAACACTGTATCAGTAATCCAATTGCAATCTATGTGTATATACAGCAAAAATATATACTAAGATACAGTATACTAAGGAATACTAAGATATGGTAAGACGTAATAAGATATGTAAGAGATAATCAACGAGGGGCTATGCATTCTATGGAAAATAATGAACAACATGGAAGGTGTGTTCCACAACGCGCTAGCTGAGTGGGAATGACCTTCCACGGAGTTGCATTATTTTCCAGAAAACGCATAGAGCCCCGAGTTGATTATTCATTTCATACCACGGCTATAATTTCACACATTTGCCTCTTGAAATGTGTTCATTTGCCGGTAGAAATGTGTTCAAATCCACTGAAGTACACTACTGTTCAAAAGTTTGGGGTCACTTAGACATTTCCTTGTTTTCCATGAAAACATATATGAAATGAGTTTGAATAGGAAATATAGCAAAATGAATAGGAAATGTAGTCATTGACAATGTTAGAAATAATGATTTTTAATTGAAATAATAATTGTGTCCTTCAAACTTTGCTTTCGTCAAAGAATCCACCATTTGCATCAATTACAGCCTTCCAGACCTTTGGCATTCTAGTTGTCAATTTGTTGAGGTAATCTGAAGAGATTTCACCCAGGCTTCCTGAAGCACCTCCCACAAGTTGGATTGGCTTGATGGGCACTTCTTACGAACCATACGGTCAAGCTGCTCCCACAACAGCTCAATAGGGTTGAGATCCGGTGACTGTGCTGGTCACTCCATTATAGACAGAATACCAGCTGACTGCTTCTTCCCTAAATAGTTATTGCATAGTTTGGAGCTGTGCTTTGGGTCATTGTCCTGTTGTAGGAGGAAATTGGCTCCAATTCAAGCGCCGTCCACAGGGTATGGCATGGCGTTGCAAAATAGAGTGATAGTATTCCTTCTTCAAGATCCCTTTTACCCTGTACAAATCTCCCACTTTACCGCCACCAAAGCACCCCCATACAATCAGATTGCCTCCACCATGCTTGACAGATGGCATCAAGCACTCCTCCAGCATCTTTTCATTTGGTCTGCATCTCACAAATGTTCTTCTTTGTGATCCGAACACCTCAAACTTCGATTCGTCTGTCCATAACACTTTTTTCTAATCTTCCTCTGTCCAGTGTCTGTGATCTTTTGCCCATCTTAATCTTTTCTTTTTATTGGCCAGTCTGATATGTGGCTTTTTCATTGCAACTCTGCCTAGAAGGTCAGCAACCCGGAGTCGCCTCTTCACTATTGATGTTGAGACTGGTGTTTTGCGGGTACTATTTAATGAAGCTGCCAATTGAGGACCTGTGAGGCGTCTGTTTCTCAAACTAGACACTCTAATGTATTTGTCCTCTTGCTCAGTTGTGCACCGGGGCCTCCCACTCCTCTTTCTATTCTGGTTCGAACCAGTTTGCGCTGTTCTGTGAAGGGAGTAGTACACAGCGTTGTACGAGATCTTCAGTTTCTTGGCAATTTCTCGCATGGAATAGCCTTAATTTCTCAGAACAAGAATAGACTGACGAGTTTCAGAAGAAAGTTATTTGTTTCTGGCCATTTTGAGCCTGTAATCGAACCCACAATTGCTGATGCTCCAGATACTCAACTAGTCTCAAGAAGGCCAGTTTTATTGCTTCTTTAATCAGCACAACAGTTTTCAGCTGTGCTAACATAATTGCAAAAGGGTTTTCTAATGATCAATTAGGCTTTTAAAATGATAAACTTGGATTAGCAAACACAACGTGCCATTGGAACACAGGACTGATGGTTGCTGATAATGGGCCTCTGTACGCCTATGTAGATATTCCATTAAAAATCTGCCGTTTCCAGCTACAATAGCCATTTACAACATTAACAATGTTTACACTATATTTCTGATCAATTTGATGTTTCGAAAACAAGGACATTTCTAATTGACCCCAAACTTTTGAAAGGTAGTGTAGCTAGGATGTTTACTAGATAGCTACAGTAGTTGCCGTGGTAACCAAACAAACAGACTTGGTAGTTTAACCAAACCATCAATCCTAGCTTGCTATTATGAAAATCGAATTCAACAATAACAGTACTGTTTTCAATTCTACTTTTGCTTTCAAAAGCAGCTCAAACAAAACATGTAAAAATTAACTATAGCCATTAAATTCTACCATGCACATATACAGTGCATTATAGGGAAATAATGCATGCTCTAGAATGCCCTTCAAGCCAATAAGAAAAGAGTATTCAACAATGCCATGGTATAAACTAAGATATACTAAGATAGAGATAAATTAATATACTCACTCATATCTGATATCTGATACTCTATCTGAGTAGAGAGGAGGAGACATGGGGACCGGGGTGGAGGACAGAAGGCCAGTTTATACCTGCTGCTAAAATGCGTCCTTCGTCCTGATCTTGACCTGATCTTGTCTGTTTACACTTATAACTCTTATGAAAAAAGATTGCAGTTTCAAAACTGCAATATTTTTTTGTAAGGGAAGATCTGATCACAAACAGATCACAATACACCTTTTAGTTATCTACACCTGTCTAAAAATGAGGGCACAATCAGAATGTGGACAAGATCAGGACAAAAGACGCATGTTAGAACCAGGTATAAATGGGGCTAGAGAGACAGAGGCAATCGAAACAGGCTGAAATAGATGAGTAAGAGATACTGATCTTTACTGTAGACCTTTACTGGGCTTTACATGTTGATGCCATTTGTTAGATTATATAATTCTTATCAGCACAAAGAAAGAAGAAAAATGCCTCATCAGTACCATCTTCTACCTCCAACTGTACTGTACACCCAAGAGCCTGATTTGCATATGTGTTTACGTCATATACGGCCTATGGTTTCCATTTTTTATGTTGGATTATAGAAGAAGAAGTGGAAGATTAATGAGTAGATGGGATGGGAGGAGGGTGGAAGACAGGAATGTGGTTTTACGCAATGCAATCAGAAGTGTTGCTGAGAGAAAAAGAGTGATGAGAGGGAGTGAAAGAAGAAGAAATAGCTTCTAAAACGAACTGTTGTTGCATCTGTGGTCAGGAGTATAATCAAGCATGAAACCACACAACTCTATTACACAGGTTGATTAAGTAATTGTAGTGTTTGCATTTTGTGAGTCTGTCCAAACAACTCCGTTTTGGACTGTCTTAATGAGACTCTTGGCAGATTATTTGCCAATAGTCCTCTCCAACTGTGCCACGTTGAATTTATTCACAGAGGGATACCTTGAAGAAACGTCTTCAAGTAAGGTATATATTCACATAACAATCTATATTTCATTGATACCATCTGAGTATTTATAAATGAATAATAGCTTACTTCATAGTCGGAGCCTTGGCTATGTTTATTAATACCCCCCCCCCCCCCCCCCCCCCCCAGACTGACCATCCGTGGCGGTCGATATCGGGGCGTAGTGGACGCCGGACGCGACTTCCTGTGGAAGCAGGATATCCTCCGGTCTGTCCAGCGTTCCTCTGTCCTCGACCCCTTGTTGATCTCTTCACCCCGGGCCACAGGACAGGACACACAGACATTCTATCTCTCACTGCTTTCCAGTGACGAGGCAAGAATTAGTCATTATTCTGAAATAACTGATATTAAATGTACCCAATAGAGAAAGATTAGGAACAGGACCAGATCTGTGCTGGATTGGTGGATATGTGAATGGTGTTTTATGATTTGATTTTATTACTTCATTCTCCCCCAATGTTGTGTGTGTGTCTGTGTTCAAGTCTCCTGATTGTATTAGATCAATCAGCATCCGTAATCATGGATGTCAAAACAATTACTGGCTATTTCACCACCACTCAGTGGTAGTCCATTCCTATCCCCTGAAAGAATTCACACGTACTATAGAATTGTCTCTGTCAGTGAAATGATCACGGGAGGGAAACTGAAATCTCTACTTTGTCATTGAATCCTGTGTGCTGCTCCCTGCTGTTTCCTGCTCTGTCTGCTATCTGTGTGGCACTGCTGTTGGTTTGGGCCTGCTTCCTCACTCAGTTTACCTTGGATGGGATTCACCATATGGAAACCACCGTTAACACAGATTTTTTTTCTTCTTCCTCACACACATGCTGTACACACACACGTCAAACATAACAAACTGTTAGTGATTGTCTTGAATGAAGTGATATGTGGGTTTGGGTTGTTATTGTATATGGGGCCAAAGCGTAAATAGAAGATATCCGCTTCTCTCTCTCACATCCCCTCACACCCACGTTAGTGGTCAGTCTGTCAGCCAATCAGCCACAGGCAGGAAGTCCGATAATGATGAGCTGGATATTCAAAAACACCATCGATCGGTAAACAGTCAAGCAGGGTTTTTTCTCTCTGATTGAACAGGCCAAATGTACATGGGTAACCCTGAGGGCTTTATTCATTGATTTATAATGCCAGATTCTATACTAGATGTTATATAGTTACATTGGCTACTGTGGGCTTCTATGTTTTCACATTTGCAAACTGGGATGTTACATTATTTCTTTACATTAGGTGATTTCCAATTGGTGGTGGTATCTGGTATGAGATGTGGTCTGTTTCAGACATTGGCAAGAACACTCATGTGACTGTGTTAGCGGTTCAGCTGAGGTCTGTCCCATCAATTTAATTTTAAAGTTAAGAAAAATATATGCAAATGTGGCTTTATCAAAAGCATTTATTAATAATAGTCATAGTAATGTCACACAAATTCACAAAGTGTTTAAGACATGTCTGGCTCAGTTTGTTGTGTGTGTGTGTGCGTGTGCGTGTGTGTGTGTGTGTGTGAATTCTCTAAACAGTGCAGTTTAAAATGAATGACCACAAAGAGAAGAAAAATAAAAGGTATATTGCAACAGGAAAAATAGAATTCTCATCTTAAAAAGGGAAAAAACTAAGAAATTGTTCATCAGAGAACTGTCAATACTCCAACAGATAATAATATTTAAAAAATCATTAATTTCATCTAAAGGCCCCTAAAATTGATGAAAAACAAAATTACGATTTCTCAGATAAAAAAGGTACAGAAAATGTAGTTTTGTTTTTTCACGCATTACAAAGACAGTATTCCGTTAGTCAACTTTCTACCTCGGCTGTGTATCCTAGCAACTACAGGGGAAGGTGTAAGTTATATTCATTAGAAATATCATTTATATATATAGAACCAGAAGAAGCACCAGAGAAAACATTGTCCTCCTGTAAGTTGTTAGAGGACTCAGAATCACCATAAAAAACTTTCAAACCTGTACAGCCCTAATAAAAACAAGGGGAGAACATTGACATCCAATAAATAGAAACATTTTAAATAAAAAAAGAACAATGTACAATGTAAAATCCCCCCCCCCCCCAAAAAAAAGAATACATCTGTATAAAAAAAATAATACTTAAAACAAAACGAAATCAGAGGTACAACACGATTATTACACCAACTGAAAAAATTATCACGATGAAAAATGGAAGCAATTAATTCAAACAAAGACCTGATGTACTCCTAAAGAGGTGTGACAATTGACTTATTTCTTTCTCCCAAGGAAATAAACATTATACATTTGTAAAAACACAAAATTTACAACACATACAAGAGTCAAAAAGACAAGAACTAAAAAACAAAAACGTCTTTAAAACCCGTATGTTTCGAAGCATTCCAAACAAAAAATGTGTCTTCTTATTCTTAATGCTTTTAGAAAAATGTTCGTATCTCTATTATTAGTATTTTCCATCTTATTTATCTTCTAAATACAAGTTACAAGGCCAATGTGGTATATATCTAGGCTGATCTAGTCTTTAAAAAAAAAAGAACATAAATTATTTTAGGAAAAAAACAGCACCCCACAAAAAAATACAAACAGCATTTACACATTTCAGTATTCAAGACGACAATTTTTTTAAAGAAATCCGGAAATAACTAAATTCATGCCATTGATAACAACCGTCAACTCAGTTGCTTGTTTACAATGGTAGCTAGCACCAACTGCCTTTCCGTTTTTTCAAGTCCTCCAGAAACCAGTAAGCTGATCTTGAGCACCGTTGACAACAAATGTAAACTGGCGTTTGATTGGCGGTTTGGTTTTGTAAACAGTGATGAGTAGTAAACTGGTTTTCGATTGGCTGTTTTGATCGGCAAGTAGTAGTACAAATATCTTAAATAATGAAGGAAAAAAGGTTAAAATACATTTTAAAAGGTGTGTTTAGTCCTGTCTGGCAGGAGTTTTGGTTATGGCTTTGAGACGTGGAGGAGCTTCATCACCGTGAACTGGGCGCTGCAGCCTGGAGAGAGAAGACAGACAGAGGACAAAACATTAGATACACTGGCCTCAGATTGTCAGGCAGATGTATACAAAACACAGTCAGTGCAGACTTACAAGTGGGAGAGTGAGTATGCGCTCGTGTCTTACAAAAAAACAAAAAGGTAGTGTGTGTGTGTGTGTGTGTGTGTGTGTGTGTGTGTGTCTCATAATAAGAAAGATATGCGTGTGTCTCGTAAGAAAAATATGTGTGTCTCCTCACCAGGTTGAATGTGTCGTAGGTACTCATGAGCTCCTCCATGCGGTACTGCTCCAACACCACTACGTTGTTGGAGAGGCTGGGGTTCCTCTGGCGGGCACAGTCCTCACAGTGGACCACGTAGGTCTTCCTGTTGCCGCTCTCAGACGTCACAAACAGCAGGTCAAACACCTCCACCTGGGGACAGAGGAGACACATACACACACTCAGTATATAGCCAGGGATCACTGGGCTGTGGGAAAGGGCTTGTATTGTAATGCATGGGGATGAATTGAAAGCATGCTGGAGCAATCATGAGGGAAGATAGGGGGTTGAAGTAATGTGGTTTCAGAAGAGAGACAGGCTCTCTCTGATTGTGAGGTAAGTGTTTGTGTGTTTTGGGTTCAGTTAGAAGGCGGTTTGGTGCTGGCAGACTGGGGGTTTGTATTGAGAGGGCAGTAGGTAGGTACTGGGTAGATGTGTTACTCACGTCACACTCATTGCAGTAGTAGGCTGGCTCGTCCTTCACCCGGCTCTGGTAGGAGATCTTCTTCCCTACTGCCACCAGCTGGTCTCTCAGAACCTGGATGTGCTTGATGGACTGCAGCAGGCAGTGTCTGACGGAGGGAGGGAGGGAGGGAGGGAGGGAGGGCGAGGGGGTGAGGTTAGAGCCAGGGTGGAGTGAGCAGCACACCAATATGTTTCAAACTTCTGAAACATCATAAATCTGAACAAAATTATATATTTACACCTGTGTAATTTCTAACTACACCATCTGTATAATAAACAAATCACTATAATTGTCTGAAATCCGTGGTATATCTGACCGTATAACACAGGTATGACAGAAAATTACTTTTTACTTGTCTAATTACGTTGGTAACCAGTTTATAGCAATAAAGCACCTCAGGGGTTTGTGGTATATGGCCAATATACCACGGCTAAGGGCTGAATCCAGGCACTCTGCGTTGCGCATAAGAACAGCCCTTAGTCGTGGTATATTGGCCATATATCACACCCCATCAGGCCTTACTGCTTAAATAAAGGACCCATCATCAGTCGGTCAGTACTCACTTGATCATCTTGTATGTGTCTGGGTCGGTGACCTTGACGGTGCGGGCCACGTTCCAGGACACGTGGATCATGGGGACGATGGACTTGACCTTCTTCACTTCATTCCACTCAAACCTCTCCAGAGCCAGCTGGTACTGGTAGGCTGCAGAGAGGAACAACGGGAACATTAGTACTTGACATTATAAAAGCTCTTCAACAGTATAATTGTTAGTGACCTTGTATGTTTTTACATAGGATCTTCAACATCAGTCCTCTACTTATGTGTTTCATTGTTGTGGATTTGGACTGTGGTCATTACCCTGAAGTTCAAAACTCTCAAGCCAAAATTACTGACAAAGACCAACAGGTCCATAAAATAACACTAACCATAAAAGTCAAGCAATGGCTCTACTGCAATGTGTTTCAGTAGATGGGTGAGTCAAACATTTGCATCTGTAGCAAACAGTAATGTAGCTATCTTTGTCAGGGAGTTAACTTACAGTTGAGTGGTCCGACGTTCCATGCAATGTTGTTGCACCAGCCCACAGCCTGGACCCAGTGGACGGTCCCTGCGTTGATCCACACCAGGTCCCCTGGTCTCTGAATGAAGCGGTACACAGGGATGTTGGAGCGGTACAGGTCCTCCAGGACAGGCCACCAGGAACCAGTCAGGTAGTCTACTCCATGCCTGAGAGAGAGAGGGGAGGAGGGGGTTAGATCCTCTGAGGTAGTGGGTGATACATTGGGAGAATGGTACGCTTGAGTAGATGAGACACTTGTGCTATTTTACATTCTAAGGACTTACAAGCTGAGCTGCTGAGATGAGCTCTAGTTACTTGGAAGAGCAAATCTGACAGATTGTTTTTCTACATCAAACAGGCTCAAATCAGAAATTTATTATTGTACCTCATCATCAACACATTCTGTAAATCATGGTAATGTATCAACCAGTGTCCACACGACTTACTTTTCACAGAAGTCGTTGATGGCCGGCCAGTAGTTTTCATGCACAGAGAACCACTCGCAGTCTCCAGGCCCAATGTTGATGTTCACTGAGCAGAAGTTGTTGTTCTCCTGATGGCCAGGCGTGCGGCTGCCGGGGACCTTCATGTAGAGCTGGACAGTGTTCATGCCCAGGATGGTGTGTCCTACGTGGCTCAGCATGTTACCGCTGGACGCCACGCGCATGAAGGCTGGAAGCTTCTGGAGCTCCTGCAGCTGGGCCTTCCACCTGGTAGAGAGAGAGGGAGAGATAGATGGGGAGAGGGAGGTCAGGGTTATTGTCTTTTTTAAACTGGCCAACAGAACACAATCTGAGTGGCAGTAGTTGCATCAATGCTATCATCACTAAGGAGCTTATTTACTATAGTGATTTTGCGCAATATGGCCTTGCTTAGCAATGGATGTGGTTCATGTAATAAAGATTCAGTATGGAAACCTGACCAGTAGGGGTCAGCAAAACCTCAGAGGAAAGTTCTGGAACAAATGAGAAAAGTTCCACATGTTCTATGTGGTAATAGAATGCATCTCCAGCTTACCTCTTGGGGTCTGACAGATCAATGTTGGTGCCAAACTTGATAATCTTCCCCACTGGTTTCAGCTCGGTACTGATAGCGTCTTTGCTTGTGGGGTCTTTGTTAGACGTCTCAGAGCTAGTCTCCTTACTCTTCTTCTCTTTCTCCTTGTCTTCCTCATCTTCATTATCATCATCTTCATCACTCCCCTTCTCCTCCTGAAGACACAGAAAAGAAGAAGGTAGAGGTAAGTTATATAGAAGAGGTGTGTGTATACATGGTGTGTGTCTCTACATGTATCATTGTATCCATCCATACCTGGAGGCTCTCCTGGAAGCTGGAAGCCTGGTACTGAGCGTACTTGGCGATGGTGGTGTGTGAGCGGCTGCTCTCGCAGGGCCAGGTCTGCCCCGTGCCGCTGGGGTCCCAGTTCTCATCAGCAGGCTGCTGTACCTGGGTCCTCACCTCCACAGCATGCTCCGAGTTAGCGTCCACCAGAGACTTAGTGGAGAACAGACCCAGGTCTGAAGGGTGAGAGAGAGAGAGAGAGAGAGAGAGAGAGAGAGGAGAGAAGAGAGAGAAGAGAGAGAGAAGAGATCGATATAGAGTAGATATAGATAGATAGAGAGAGAGAGAGATATTAGATATATCTTCTCTCTTTCCTTTACTTTCTTTTCTATGAGGAGGAACACCTAGCGGGTTTTAATATACAAATATATAAGGGATGACATGGTGCGGCATGAAGGGACTCCCAAAGGGAATGGTACCAAGTCATTTTATTACTATTTGTAGGTAGGTAGTGCAGTTTGATTGAATGATTTGTGTGGTTACTGTGGTAGATAGTGTTGAATAAATGATTGATAACGATGTGAAGTGTGTGTGTGTATGACTCACTGAGTCGTAGGGATCCGGCCAGTCCTCTGATAACAGTAACAGGGTTCTTAGGGTCAGTACAGAACTGCAGTAGTACTGGGGATAAGGCATCTCTCTTACTCTCCAGCTATAGAGGGGGGAAGACGATAGAACAGTCAGTACAATTATAATTCACGTCAGGTGCAGTTTTCTACCAACAGAGGGCAGTACATGGTTTAAAAAATATATTTTAATTTTATGTTACACATTATTAGAGAAGGAGAGAGAGTATAATAATAATAATAATAATAATAATAATAATAATAATAATAATAATAATAATAAAAATAATAATAATAAGAGAGGGGGAGATTGAAGATTGAATGGGATACGTGGTGGAGAGAAAGATAGTGTGTGAATATAGATATGTGAGATGTGTGGTGGGGTTATGGTGAATGACAGGGACTTACATAGATGCTTGGTGTGGGAGGGTTGAGTTTCTCCCGTGGGATGGGCTCTGTAGTAAACAGGGGCTTGACAGAGAACGCAGGGAGCAGGTAGGACTCTCTGAACTTCCCCTTCACACTCGCACCCCTGAGAGAAGAGATAAAAAAAATGTTAAGACCAAACACAGTCACAAACTGGAGCAAAAAACACTGTCTTTTTAGAAATGGATTTACTAGAATGAAACCCTCTACTTCTCATTGGTAAGACCACCCCACTCTCTCACCTACAACCCTCCTGCCTTGTTATTCCCTCCATTCCCCTCCCTCTCCCTACCCCCCGCCCAGGCCCCAGCCAGCCGCGCCGAAGGCAAGGCAGCGCGCCTCCCAGGCCCCGGGCGCCGACGCACCAAGGACCCGCGCCAAGCGCGCGCCAGCCAAGGACTCGCGCCCGACCGCGCCGCTAGAGGCGCCGCCAGGCCCCAGCGCACGCGACCGCCAGGCCCCAGCGCGCCCGCCATCCCGCGCCACTCGCGCTCCGCCCAGACCGCGCGCGATCCGCCCCCAGGCCCCGATGCGCGACTCCAAGGCCCAGCGCGCCAGCTTCCGGCCGAGCACCCGCGCTATCAGGCGGCCAGGGCCCTCCCGCGAGAGCTCCCATCGGCCCGAGAAGCAGGACTGCGCCGCGGAGGCCGCTAAGGTCCCACGGACCAGATTCAAAGCTCTTCAGCCCTCACATACCCGACTGACGAGACATTAGAACCTCCTCCATTCCCCCGCAAGTCACTCCTTTCCTCTCTCCCTGCCTCAGTTCCCCTCTCCTCTCTCCCTCCGCCTCCATCCCCTACTCACTCTGCCTGGCCCCTCCATGTACTCCCTCTCCCCTCTCCGCTCTCCCTCCATTCCCCTCTCCTCTCCTCTCTCCCTCCATTCCCCTCTCCTCTCTCCCTCCATACTCACTTGCAGGCCCGTATGACCTCTGCGGCTGTGTTCTTGATACTGATCTCCTCCAGCGGTGTCCTCTTCTCCTCCACCTCCGAGGCGATGAACGTCTCTCTGTCTCCGCTCTCCACCTTGATCAGTCTGATCTTCAGCTCCTTGGGTGGCCCGTCCGACAGGGCCTTCAGTTTCATGAAGTCAGCAGCTGAACCCTGCAGTGTCGATCCAGCCTCACTGCCCTGAGAAGAGGACATGACACTAGAACTTTTTTCACTTCTACTATGGGACGCCCATTCTGAGGGTTCGTCTTCGCTGGTGGACCCAGCCTCCTTCCTCCTCTTCCGGTCTCTCTCCATGTCGGAGTGAACGTGGTCACAGTCCTTCTCCCGGATCTCCTTGCTCTGGAGGTCCAGGTTCCCGAGGATCCGCAGGTGGTCCTTCTTCTCCTTGTGACCTTTGCCCTCCTTGTGCCGTTTGGAACTGGAACTGGAGTGGGAGGAGGAAGAGGAGGAGTGGGAGGAGGAAGAGGAGGAGTGGGAGGAGGACATCTCCTCTCGTTTCTCTCTGTGCTTTTTCTTCCTCTCTTTCCTCTCCTGGTGTGTCTTGCTGCTGCCGTGTTTCCTCTTCTTCTCTGTCTCTCTATCCTTCTCTCTGTCTCCTTCCCTCTCTCTCTCAGGCTTGTGGTGCATGTCCTCCTGTTTCAGCTCAGTCTTGGTCCTGTCTGAGGTGTTCTTGCTGGGGAGGGAGTTGGAGTGTCGGGTCAGGAAGACCTCACAGCTCCGGCCCAGCTCAGCCAGAGAAGACTCAGAGATGGTAGTGAGCTTCATCTCTTCTTTTGGCTCCATCTTGATGGATTGTGTGGAGGGATTCAAATTTGACTCTTCCTTTGAGGAATGGATCCTCTTTTCCATGGCCTCCCTCCCATTTCTCCAGATATCAGGCTCCTCCATCTTTATATTGACCTGTCTCTTCGCCTCCCAGCTGGAGGGTGAGTGTGGGCGGGACTTTAGGGGCGGGGTCAATGACGGTGTAAAGCCCGGGTGATTGGTGGAATCGGAGGTGGGGGAGGTGCTATTCTGCTGCTGTTGGATGTCGGGACCCAGAGAGAGGGAGGAGGAGTACTTTACTCCCCCCAGAGCGGAGGGGGGCGGGCGGCCAAATGGACCTCCTCTGTAGGTGTACTTCTGGTTCTCCAGGGCGGCCAGGGACTTGTTGGTGCTGCTCACCCCCGTCTGGTGGAGGTGGGGCCTCTGGGGCGGGGGAGGGGAACTGGACGGAGTCTCCGACTCCTCTTCCTCATCTTCGTCGTCGCACTCGCTCTTCGCGGGCTCCGGGAGACCGTAGAGTTTAGCCAGGTCGCTGTGGCGATAGTTAGTCCCCGACTGGGAGTTGGGGTTGAGAGGGACAGCTGGCTTGTGGACCTCCGGAGCGGGTTTCAGGGTGAGACAACCCTCCTCCTCTTCCTCGTTGAGGGAGGAGGTCCGACTGCAGGGGGAGGCCAGGGAGCCCTGTCGGCTCAGCACGGGGGGGCTGGAGTTGAGGTTCGCCCCAACAAAGTCGTCCTGCGGTTGCTGCTTGGGCGCCGGGATGAGGTCCGGGGCGCACAGGTAGCTCTTGACCAGTGGCATGGTACCAGAGAAGGCGTTGACAATGTTTTCTCTAGCTCCGTTTCGGTCGCTGCTATATAAAGATTCCTCCTCTTTCTTGATGGACTCATCCAGCATGGCCATGATGTTGGCCAGACCGTCCGGGAGTAACGTAGAGAGCTCTGATGGTTCCTCCTCAAACTGGGCGCTCTCCGAGTCTCCGCTGCTGCTGCTGGCGCAGCTACCCAGGCCTCCGCTGGGCATGCGCTTGTGGAGGAGGCCCCCTATGCTGGAGGTGCTGCTGCTGGTTCTGGAGGGGTTGGGCACGGACGAAAGGCTGTCCCTGGGGAAGGCCTGGTAGAGTTTGGGGGGCTCTCGGAGGGTGATGGTGCTGGAGGTGTGGAGGGGACCCATAGCCCCCATCACTCCTCCTCTGGCCTGCTGACTAGCCTTCTCCTTGGGATGGGGGGTATCTTTGGATGGACGGGGGGCGCCTCGCATGGTGGTGTTGTTTAAGGGGTGGTTGGGGTAGGAGGACCCCAACGAGGGCCGGGCGTTGTTCCCTGAGGTAACGTTACTACTGTGAGATGACGACGGGGGACTTCCACCCCATTTCTCCCTCTGCCTCTGCTTCTCCCTGGCATAGTCCGTCTGGGGGGTGAGAGGGGGCGGCTGCGACCTCTCCAGGGGGGCAGGAGACGGTGGTGCCTGGCCTGGGGGACAAGGGGGTGCCCCGCCCCGGCTCAGCCAGGGGGTAGGGGGGCGAGGAGGAGGACTGGCTGGGGGGTGGTGGGGGTGGAGGTAGGACAAAGGAGGAGGAGGAGGTGGAGCCAGTGGACAGGGGAGGAGGTGGGGCAGAAGAGGTGCTGCCTGACAGGAGTCTCTCCAGACTCTCGATGGCGGACTCCTCTCTCCCCTTACTGCTCCTGCTCATCTCCTCCTTCACCTTCCTCTCCATCCTCCTCTTCCTCTCCTCCTCCTCTCTCGCCCACTCCCTCCTCCTCTTCCTCTCCTCTTCCTCCCTCGCTCTCTCCCAGTCCTTCCTCTTCCTCTCCTCCTGCTCTTTTTCCCATTCCCTACTTCTCTTCTTCTCCTCTTCTGCCCTCTCCCACTCCCTCCTCTTCCTCTCCTCCTGCTCTCTCTCCCAATCCCTCCTCTTCCTCTCCTCCTGCTCTCTCTCCCAATCCCTCCTCTTCCTCTCCTCCTGCTCTCTCTCCCAGTCCCTCCTTCTCTCCTCGGCCTGCATATGACCCTGCAGCTCAGCATCCAGTTTATCCAGAGCCTCCTTCATGGACTGCGGGGCTGAGGGTGGAGGTGGCTGGGGTCGCGAACAAGAATACCCCTGGGCTGAGGTGGGGGTAGCCTGGGGGGCCTGGGGTGTAGGCTGGGCACAGAGTCTGGAGTAGGAGGGGTTGGAGGCTAGCTGAGGGGCAGAGTTGACCGTGTGGGGTTGGGGGGCGGTCATGGGGCGGTCATGGGGCGAGCTAGTGACCGCCGTCTGCGGGAGGGGGTTGGGGTGAGACCCTCTGCTGGTGATGACGCTCTCCCCTGCCCTCTGGTGTCCTGAGGATGATGACGAAGAGAAGGAAGGAGTGCGATCAGGCTCAGTCCGTCCGTAGTAACCCTTCCCCTGGACAGACTGTTGGTGGTGGTGGCTAGGCTGCTGCTGGGGCCTGGGTGGTGCCCGGTGGGGGTGAGGGTGACTGGCAGTGCCCACGTGGGCTCCCTGATACCCTGGGTGCAGCATGGGGTTGATGGGCCCCCTCTCTGGGTCCCTCTCCAGCTGAGACGGAACTGAGGTCTGGTGGAGCAGTCCCATCGTCTCCCTGCCTCTCCAACTGCTGCTGGTGGGGGTGTTGTTAGCTGAACACACAGCAGGTGGCGCTGTGGTCACAGTGGAGAGTGCAGGTCCAGTCATATTACTGATCCTACTACTACTACTACTACTACTACTACTACTACTACTACTACTACTACTACTACTACTACTACTGTTGTAGCGGTTGTTATGTGACTGTGAGCAGGGGGGCTGGGGGGTGAAGGTGGGGGTGATGACAGGCGTCCTGGTAGGAGGTATGGGGGTGGCCTGAGGGGGGCTGACGTGGGGGTAGGGGTGCTGATGATGCTGGAGGGGCGCTGGACCCCGGGTCTCCCCGACCTGGTTCTGATTCTGCTGCTGCCCCGGAGATACCAGCCCTGCCCTGTAGAGACCTGACTCCTGTAGGGAGAGACAGATATGGTAGATTAATACACTGGAGATAGAGCGCCATCCAAACAGACATAGGCTGCTTCCCAAATGGCACCCTATTCCCTATACAGTGCACTACTTGTGATGGGGCCCATTTGGGCCGCAGCTGATACACTACAATACTAACAAAATTGATATAGTTTACATTTCCTCTTAGCAAAAGTCCATTAACTAAGACCAGTCAATTCCAAACTGAACCCTCTGCTAAATGACATTTGAGCCTATGAGCGGGTAAAATGGGAGTTGTTCCCGAACTCTTCAGGTCTACGTGAAGTGCCTAGGTTTTCGTGAGCCCGCCGTCGATTTGGATTTTAGAAAATAATTACAGTGTGAAAAAGGCGGAGATCACACGCTAACAAATGGAGGCTGGGTATAACATTAGCTCTGCTGGGAGCCTGGGACTCACCAGGGGGTGGTTGCTTTGTGGCCTGCCCTGGCCCTGGCCCTGTCCCTGGGGCCTCCAGGCCTCATGGTGGGGGGTGGTGGGGTTGTGCTGTTGAGGTACTGCGGTGCTGCTGGCAGGGGCAAGGAGGTGGGGGTTGTGGCTGTAAGGCACGCCGGTGTGGTTTGCTGGTGAGGGTTGGGGGGTCTCCCTAAAGCCCCTGTCTCCTCTACTGTCCCCCCTTGCTGGAGGTTGGTGGTGAGGAGGATGGGAGTGGGGCTGGTTGTTGATTCCTCGGCCCCCAGCGGTAGGGCCTCTCTGGGGGGTAGGAGGACCTCCCCGGGGCTCCATCCCCATGAGGGGCGGGGCTGGAGCTGGTTGTTTGGGGTACTGGGGGTGGTTATTGTGGGGGGGTTGATTGAGGGCCTGAGGTGGGAACTGGGGCTTGTGGGGTGGGGCGGCCCCGCCGCGCCGCTGGGGGTAGTCTCCCAGGGAGGAGATGCGGGGTGGGGAGATTGGCGAGGGGGCGGAGGGAGGGGGAGGTTTGTAGGTGTAGCCGCCCAGACCTGACTTGGCTGACTCCTGTTACCAGAGACAAAGAGAGAGACATGATTAGCTAAGAACTTCTGGGAAGGCTAGGAGACCATAGACAAACTATTTGACTACCTAACCTGAATCTCATAAACTGACATGTTACTTTATGCCAAACACAACTAACCAAGTTCCACCCCTCTCAAAAAAAAGAACTACATTTGATAAGTACACTAAATTCATGCTCTTGACGAAGAGGCAGTGCTAAGTGTTCTTACAGTTCTGATCTGGAACTCTGGAGGCCCGTTCTTGCGTTCGGGCTGGGCCCAGGGGGCGTTCCCCTTATGTATGGGGTTCCAGAAGGCAGGTTTGGGTGGGGGAGGGGGGGGGGTGGGACAGGGGCTGCTGCTGGGGGGGCAGGGGGTGTCCTCCTGGGCCAGAGAACCGCTGCATGCCTGGGTGAGGAACCTGTAGAGGAGAAGAGTAACTATGTTAATACTACAGTATATCCCATCATAACAACATGGTCAAATTACAAGAACAAACTAAGTTTAGATATCAAAAGGTCACAAATAATTCTATGCAATCACCTGACGCTACATATGGGAGAGTATAGATTTGGATCTCTTTATCCTGTATGTGTAAATATAACTGTATGAGTAAAGTGTTGAGAGCAGCGGTTTCAGTCATCCACGTACCTGCTCAGAGCTCCTCTTCCTCTTGCTAGGACTGGGACAGTCCTCATTGGGCCGAGAGGAGGGGTGAAGGGAGGGGGGCGGGGTGTGCTGGATGACCGAGTGCTCCCCTAAAGGGGGGGCCGGCCTCTTCAGCTGCCCCCCCAGCATCTTCCCTGGGTAACCCCTCTGCTGCTGCTGCATCTGAGCCCACATATCATCACCCAGTGACGCTGGACCCCTGGGGACATGATGCTCCTGAGGACCCTCATACTGACAGAGAGAAGGAGAGAGAGAGAGAGAGAGAGAGAGAGAGAGAGGAGAGAGAGAGAGAGGAGAGAGAGGGGTTGAGAAGGAGAGAGAGGAGGAGAGAGAGAAGGACAGAGAGGAGAGAGAGAGGAGAGAGAGAGGAGGAGAGAGGAGGAGAGAGAGAGAGAGGAGGAGAGAGAGAAGGACAGAGAGGAGAGAGAGAGGAGGAGAGAGGAGGAGAGAGAGAGAGAGGAGAAGAGAGGAGGAGAGAGAGAGAGAGGAGAGAGAGGGGTTGAGAAGGAGATAGAGAGAGGAAAAGGCAGGATTACATCTCCTAACAAGACATCCAACTTTTATCGTCGCTCACTGATAGGCCACTCATTTATCTACACTCGTCCTGTCTGATGATATCATTGGCTCCTTCTCTCACCTTCAGTAGCTGATTGGGTCTGGAAGGCAGGTGGGTAGGAGGCCCGGCGCTGTATCCACCGCTGTGAAGGCCGGGTAGGGGTTCAAGTGAATGAGGAGGGGGGTGTGACTCATACAGCTGACCCATCTGCTCCCACACCCGGTGGGGGGGAGGAAGGGGGCATTGCTGGTCCCCTCTCTGGAGGCCAGGTAACATGGCCTGGGACAGCTCCAGCTTTTCACCGCCACGCACCTGCATGGTCCTGTTGGGAACAGAGAGAGAGAGAGAGAGAGAGAGAGAGTCAGATTACAGTGACTACAGCCTGGAGCTGTGAATGTACGTGACAAGGAAAGACAAGAAAGGCGGAGACTACAGCTATCAGATTATATTACCGTATGAGCCCAACAGGAATATTTGCCGGACTCACCCATTATTGAAGAATTTACTGGGATGGTTCAGTCCACCCATGTGACTGGGCGCTACATGGGGGAGGACCTGGTGTTGATTGACACCTGTCGAACACCTGGTAGAGAGAACAAGAGTAAATACTGTGCGATACGAACTGTTTTACCTAAGAGAAAAATACATGTTAACCTACAATAACAATTAACAGTGAACTTGTAGTCAAGTGAGAGAGTGTGAAGCTAAGTCAGTCAGTGTAGGTGTAATTAATTGACTAGTAGCTGTGTGTGTGTGGCTTGTTGGTTGCCGTGGAAACCTAACATACCTGGCAGGTGGCGCCCAGGTGGCGCGGCTGCCCACGGGAGCCCATGGTCCCCGGCTGAGTCCGTCCAGAGGGAAGGAGTCCCGTGTGCCACGCCCACCAAACTGCTCTACTGCGTGATGCATCCAGCCTGTAGGACGAGGAGGACAACACACACAAACATACACTCAATATATGGAACACACACACACACTGGAGAGATACACTCTCAGTATGTACACAATGTGTGCCCTCTGCATGGGAATTAACACACAATTACTCACATACACTCCCTCTGTTTCTCACACACGGACATGCACATGCACACACAGACACACACACACTGTCAACAAACTATTAACCTATGTGGCATTTGTGGATTGCCCAAAAATGCAAGTATACGCTTTCTACTCACCACACTAGCTGTGTCTGTGAAGCCCTCCACTGCAGCTCAGAGAAGGCCACACACCAAAGACTAAGGGAAGACTTCACACCTGTCTTCAACACCAATACAATACAGCCTGTTAGGCTAGAGAGGGAACAAGAGGAGAGAGAATGAGAGAGGGAGAAACAGAGAATCAGACAGAGAGGGAGAGAGGAGAGAGTGAGAGAGAACAAGAGGAGGAAGAGAGGGGAAGGAAGTGAGATACAAGTCAATAATTGTCAGTAGGTTTTCCATTATATAGTTCAGCTGTAGAGCGAAACTCACTGCAGACAGAGAGGAGGGGTTGAGACTGAGGAAATAGGACAGAGGAAAGAACAGCGCAAGGAAGAAGAGGTAAACGAAGAGAGGAGTCTAGATATGGAACATTTGGTGCGGAGAGAGCTTACAAACTTCTCTGTGACTAAAATACAGTATGTGTGGAGTTGGAGGGAGGCAGCAGATGTAATTGTTTATCTATTTAACAACTATTGCACCATAGACTCTAGGTCTAGGTATTACAGTGTAACCGCAGCGTCTTTGTCCATCTGTCATTATTAGCTAGTACACTCTGGTAGTGCTGTACTGTGTCCCAGCCCCTAGGGGGCGACGGTAGCTCTGCTGTAGCTGACTTTAGGATTATTAGCCGAGCACAGATGGTCCTGTGGGAGTTAGTGGACCTATGATATGGGAACACTGAGGTTACTGTAATCCCTACAGGGGGGGTAGAGACCCACAGAGACTAACCAAGGGCACAGGGTGTGTGGCTGTACTGCCTGTTTTGTGTGAGCGTCTGTAGAGTATCTATGTATGTGTGTGTATTGGATCCACTTGGTTTTAATCCCATTATTAGAACAGGTGTGATGGAGAGGGAGAGAGAGGGACAGGGGGAAGACACAACAGAAGGTCTGAACAGGATGGGAGGATAGATGGGTGGGAAATAAAAGTGCTCTTCAGGGAAGGAGGGAGGGAGGGATGGAAGAGAGGACGGGCTGTGCTGGCTATATCTCATGCCCACACACCTTCCCACACATGGCAGAGAGGCAAACAAAAGAACAGTTGGAGAACACAGAAAATAGCCTGGCATATATACTCATACACATGGTGACACACACAGTGACACACACACACACACACTGTGACACACACCGTGACACACAAATACAAAAAGTCACACCACCCAGAAAAACTAACACTGAGACACACAGGACCAAAACTTCAAAGAAATAGAAAAGACTCAGTCCATGTCAAACAGAGAGAGTTACAGAAGACAGAAGAAGATTCCTGTTCAAAATGCAAACAGAAGCACACACCCGTGACAGACACACCGTGACACACACACCGTGACACACACACCGTGACGATGAGCCAGCAAAGTTCCCCACTCTAGTCAACGTTGGTTCCTAAATTAGCTCTGCTAGTGTGTGTAGGGCCTCCCACTCCCTCTCTCCTCCCTCCCTCTCTCCTCCCTCCCTCTCTCATCCCTCCCTCTCTCCTCCCTCCCTCTCTCCTCCCTCCCGCTCTCCTCCCTCCCTCTCTCCTCCCTCCCTCTCTCCTCCCTCCCGCTCTCCTCCCTCCCTCTCTCCTCCATCCCTCTCTGTCTCCATCCCTAGCGCCGCCTTGCTATTAAAAGCCTAGGGGGAAGATATTTCAGGCGCTCCGTTTTTAGCTTCCAGAGAGATGGAAATAAAACCAACACTGAGCCACGCTGACGCTCCCCTCTACTCATCTGTCTGTGTGTGTGTGTGTGTGTGTGTGTTGGATAACGATACCATACTAGTGCCATGTAAAGACAGACCAGGACCAGACGATCATAAACAGCTCTGACTGGTTAACACATTCCCACAGACACATAAAAAGATACATACACACGTTCGAACACACACACACACACACACAGTGCATTCGGAAAGTATTCAGACCCCTTGACTTTTTCCACATTTTGTTACGTTACAGCCTTATTCTAAAATTGATTAAATCGTTTTTTTTCCCTCATCAATCTTCACACAATACCCACAATGACAAAGCAAAAACATGTTTTTAGAATTTTAGGCAAATGTATTAGAAATTTAAAGAATTTACAGAACTATTCAGACCCTTTACTCAGTACTTTGTTGAAGCACCTTTAGCAGCGATTACAGCTTTGAGTCTTACTGGGTATGACGCTACAAGCTTGGTACACCTGTATTTGGGGAGTTTATCCCATTCTTCTCTGCAGATCCTCTCAAGCTCTGTCAGGTTGGATGGGGAGCGTCGCTGCACAGCTATTTTCAGGTCTCTCCAGAGATGTTCGATCGGGTTCAAGCCGGGCTCTGGCTGGGCCACTCAAGGACATTCAGAGACTTGTCCCGAAGCCACTCCTGCGTTGTCTTGGCTGTGTGCTTAGGGTCGTTGTCCTGTTGGAAGATGAACCTTCGCCCCAGTCTGATGTCCTGAGAGCTCTGGAGCAGGTTTTCATCAAGGATCTCTCTGTACTTTGCTCCGTTCATCTTTCCCTAAATCCTGACTAGTCTCCCAATCCTTGCCGCTGACAAACATCCCCACAGCATGATGCTGCCACCACCATGCTTCACCGTAGGGATGGTGCCAGGTTTCCTCCAGACGTGATGCTTGGCATTCAGGCCAAAGAGTTCAATCTTGGTTTCATCAGACCAGAGAATCTTGTTTCTCATGGTGTGAGAGTCCTTTAGGTGCCTTTTGGCAAACTCCAAGCGGGCTGTCATGTGCCTTTTACTGAGGAGTGGCTTCCGTCTGGCCACTCTACCATAAAGGCCTGATTAGTGGAGTGCTGCAGAGATGGTTGTGGTTCTGGAAGGTTCTCTCATCTCCACAGAGGAACTCTGGAGCTCTGTCAGAGTGACCATCGGGTTCTTGGTCACCTCCCTGACCAAGGCCCTTCTCCCCCGATTGCTCAGTTTGGCAGTGTGGCCAGCTCATGGAAGAGTCTTGGTGGTTCCAAACTTCTTCCATTTAAGAATGATGGAGGCCACTGTGTTCTTGGGGACCTTCAATGCTGCAGAAATGATTTGGTACCCTTCCCCAGATCTGTGCCTCGACACAATCCTGTCTCGGAGCTCTACGGACAATTCCTTCGACCTCATGGCTTGGTTTTTGCTCTGACATGCACTGTGAACTGTGGGACCTTATATAGACAAGTGTGTGCCTTTCCAAAACATGTCCAATCAATTGAATGTACCACAGGTGGACTCCAATCAAGTTGTAGAAACATCTCAAGGATGATCAATGGAAACAGGATGCACCTGAGCTCAATTTCGTGTCTCATAGCAAAGGGTCTGAATACTTATTTCTGTTTTTGCATTGTCATTATGGGGTATTGTGTGTAGATTGATGAGGAACATTTTTAATTTCATCCATTTTAGAATAAGGATGTAACGTAACAAAATGTGGAAAAAGTCAAGGGGTCTGAATACTTTCTGAATGCACTGTATACACACACACACACACACACACACACACACTCGCTTACCTTTCAGAATAGCACCTAGTTCAAGATCCTCTGTCTTGTCAAGTCTCAGCTTCTACAGCCAATCATCTCTGGGATCTCTTCAGCCCTGGACCAATCAGAAGAGAGAGTCAGATTTAATATAAAATCATCATAAAACAGATAGCAGCCAAAACCAACAACATCTGTTCACATTAAACTAACACACAATCACAATTAGCCAATAGCTCTATGTATCAGAAATTAGGGTTGTTCCATGTCATTTCAGCAAGCCATGACACCCACCATCTAAGATTGTTCTGAAATAGTTTCTGTAGCTAGAAACAGATAAGGTAAGCATTCCGGAAACTTTATTTTGTTGAAATATAATTTGAGATTAAGCTAATTGATTGCACCCAAATTGGCCATTTTAATTTATAGGATTCAATTAATATTCAATAATTATAGTACCTAACATCCGATATGGACCAAACTTTTTTCTAACAAGTTTCCATCCACAGTTTTTATGCAAGTAAAAGTCATACCATATAAAAATAATCACAACAGCTGTGATGGAAACAGGAAGTTGCAGTACAATTTTATAAATGCCGACATATAATTTGTTCGTTCGACATGGTGGGATCTTTTTGTTGGTAAAATTATTATGTGAGAAATGGTGGTAGAAACGCCTTTATGTGCAAATATTGATATAACAACCATCATATGGAAGTAAACTTGGAGTCAGGGTGTGTGGTCCTCCCACTACGACTCGGTAAACCATGCACTTTATTAGGCTACATATGAAATAAGTTATGATGAACTTCAGAGTGGTGAAAGTGCACGGTGATATTGATGCTCCTTTCCAATAAATATAGAGTTTCTTATTCTGGTCCAAAATGGATGTTAGGTACTATATTTATTGAATATTATATGAATTCTATGAATTAAAATAGCCAACTTGGGTGCAATCAATTAGCTTAATTTCTCAGAAATCAAATTATATATACAAAAAAATAATGTTTCCAGAATGCTAATCATATCGGTTTCTAAATACAGAAACGATTTGAGAACAATCTGAGACGGTGGGTGTCGAAATCCTCTTTCTTGTGCTTTTTGAGGTGGAACGACCCAATAGCTATACTCATATTATTACATCAGACAATGTCTGTAGACTTCTCCAGGATGAAAACGAGGATCAGAAACCAGACAATAGCCAGAACTTTCTAACACTGCATTTATCAGTCAGTCAGGAGACAAGACAGGGACTTTAGGTATAAGTATTACTGTCTAACCTCCTCTCTCTCTCACCCTCTCTGTCTCGCTCTCTTTCTCCCATGGTTACTAAGAACATGGAGACGGCTGGAGGAGGCGAAAAAAGAATCACCCCTCCTCTCTTCCTCTGCTCTCCACTGCTTCGACTCCCTAGTCGACACGGCGTGTGTGTGTGTGTGTGTGTGTGTGTGTGTGTGGAAACCCAGGGAGGGCAGGAGGGGAAAGGGTGAATCGGCAGGGGGCTGACACAACACAAAGAGAGAGGGGGCTCACACACACACACAATGGTGAGAGTAACTGTGTTAGAGGCACAAGGGCTGGCGCTATATAAACACCAGTAGCCTCTCTCACAGGAAGAGGTTGGCACGTTAAGTCAACTATCACACGTGAAACTGTAGTGCAGCAACAACAGACAGAGAGAACAGGGAGAGGGGGGAAAGGAGAGAGAGTAGAGGCACAGAGAGACAGATGAGGGAGGGAGGGAAAGAGAGAAAAGGAGAGAGGAAAGCAAAACGAACAAACGTGCAACATGGGGAACTGAGTGAGAAACAAACATCAGATACTATTACAAAGCACACTAAGACCCAAGCTTTCTCAGGTTATATAGAGAGAAAGGCTGTCAGTATGCTGTGTGTGTGAGTGAGTGAGTGTGAGAGAGAGAGAGAGTGTGTGTTGTGATATGCTGCATCCTGGGTGTCACAGCACAGGGAACCCCCCCGGTGAGTGAGTCAGCGCCACGCCCAGCGGTCGGTGGAAAGGGCTTACCTCAAACCCCAGACTTAACCCTTCATCCCCCTCCCCCTGAGACGCCACTTACGGTCAGGTGACCGGGGGCGTTGCTAGAGACGGCGTGACGTCTCAGGGATTTTCTCAGGTGGCGTCATCGGTGGTTAGTGAACCGGTGGTATGGTGAAACACGTAGATAGGCAGGTCGGGGGTTTTATGGCAAAGACAGGAATCGCCAAACCACCTAACCATGATAGAATTACAGAGAAGTGTGTGGGGGTCTTATTTGTCACTTTTAGATGTTGTGTTCTAATGTGGTGTTGCCTATTTCCCCAATTGGGTCAGGGCAATTCCAACAAACTACATTGATGTTGCCACACTGACCGCAGAATCTCAAAAGCAGAATTAACATTGCAACTAAGAATCTTGCGCAACATAACAAATCTTATAACGTGTGAATTCCCCCCGGTAGCCCCCATATGTCACCTGGGTAACAGTGAAACCCCCATGATGACAGACATCAAAGACCTGTTCCAGTCAACACCTCCGTCGTCCTGGTTATGGCATCACACACGTGGCTACCACTCTGGTAGAGAAAGGCGAGGCTAAGGCCATGCCAACATCATCATGCCAACCGTTGCTAACCATAACTACCAAAACATTACTCAATACTCACCTCTCTAATATACACTGAGTATGTGAAAATAAAACTACTTTTGCAATAATTTTTTTATACTATGATAAGCCACTAGAACTCAACTACCACTGTTACAAAGCTAAATACAAAAGTTCGGTCAGTCACCAAATCACCACCCTGTCTGACTCCAGTAATGAGACTTCCCAAACAGAGAACTCCCCTGCCAGCCTCATAGTGGTATGATCCAGAGGCAGACAGACGACATAGAAGGGCTCAGTTAAATATAGATAACTGACTATGAACACACACACATAGAGACAGAGAGACACAGAGACCCGCTAATTATCCAAATCCAGAAAAGAGCCGTTAAATTCTACAACCACCTAAAAGGAAGCGATTCCCAAACCTTCCAAAACAAAGCCATCACCTACAGAGAAATGAACCTGGAGAAGAGCCCCCTAAGCAAGCTGGTCCTGGGGCTCTGTTCACAAACACAAACTGACCCCACAGAGCCCCAGGACAGCAACACAATTATACCCAACCAAATCATGAGAAAACGAAAAAATAATTACTTGACACAAACAGAGCTAATTAGAATGCTATTTGGCCCTAAACAGAGAGTACACGGTGGCAGAATACCTGACCACTGTGACTGACCCCAAATTAAGGAAATCTTTGACTATGTACAGACTCAGTGAGCATAGCATTGCTATTTGCAAAAGGCCGCCGAAGGCAGACCTGGCTCTCAAGAGAAGACAGGCTATGTGCACACTGCCCACAAAATGAGGTGGAAACTGAGCTGCACTTCCTAACTTCCTGCCAAATGTTTGACCATATTAGAGACACATATTCCCTCAGATTACACAGACCCCAATTTTGATAAACTCCCATATCTATTGGGTGAAATACCACAGTGTGAAATCACAGCAGCAAGATGTATGACCTGTTGCCACAAGAAAAGGGCAACCAGTGAAGAACAAACACCATTGTAAATACAACCTATATTTATGTTTATTTATTTTCCCTTTTGTACTTTAACTATTTGCATATCATTAGAACACTGTATATAGACATAATATGACACTTGAAATGTCTGGAACTTTTGTGAGTGTAATGTTTACTGTTCATTTTTTATTGGTTATTTCACTTTTGTTTATTATCTATTTCACTTGCTTTGGCAATGTAAACATTTGTTTCCCATGCCAATAAAGCCATTAAATTGAAATTGAATTGAGAGAGAGAGCCAGTAGGAGCGCAGGAGGGAGATAAAGGATGACATTAAGATGACACCCTGCAGACAGTAGTTCCTGGCAGGCTGAGAGATAAGTGATCAATTTGATAAGAAAGGGAGAGAGAGAAAGAAGGGAGAGAGAGAAAGAAGGTTCCGGCATGTCTGGCGAGCGAGAGATGAGGGAGGGAGGCGGAAAGCCTGTGGGTTTCTCTCCACACTGGTCCATTACATACCTGGCCCTAAAAAGGGATTGAGTTAAAGGAAACCCACACACACACACACACTCAGCCAGGAACACACAGCCTGCCTGCGTCCGTTCCGTTGCCAGGCTCCCACAGTGTGTGTGTTTGTTTGTGTGTGATGCAGGCTAGCTCGTCACCAACGCATCTAAGCTTTTCCCACACACACTACCGCCTACACACACCGGGAGAGCACCGACACGGCCAAACACACACAGAGAACATCCTACAGCGGGTATTTATGCTCAGTAGAGAACAGAAGTAACTCTCTCTCTTCCTCCACACTAATTATAGTACAGCACTGCTGCCCAATCTCTAGGTCTAGCTGTTTGGCCTTCTAAAAATGACACCGAATCAGCTCAGAGTCACAGCAAACTCACAACCTCTCGCCTATTTACTGTAACACCAGGCCTTTAACTGTGACTGTTGCCCCAAGAATAAGGGTAGACAACACAAGCTGAAAAGAAGGTAGTGTTTGTATGTGCTGATTTAGGTCTCTGCACAGCTTACTGCTCATTGTTGGGTTCAGTTGAAAAGCACTCACAGAGAACTGGAGAGAGAGAGAGAGAGAGGGCGGAAATATGTTCATATCCCATTCTGTTGGAGAACGTGGATTGTCATCCTGGCTGGAGTGAAGTTGAACATGTGCTGTTTCTGAGAGTCGGTCCAAGTACACTCAGGAGGAAAGCCTTTCCCAACACCTCTCTCTCTCTCTCTCGCTCTCCCTCTCTCCCCCCCTCCCCCTCTCTCCACCCCTCCCTCTCTCTGGATCCTCTACCATTACTTTTACTGGCAGACATGGTGAAATGTTCGGATATATTCTACTACATGTACAGGGTTGAAAGTCTAGTGTGGTATTTTGGCAGCCTGTTGGTTTACGCAGGTTGAGGAGATGGAAACAGCAAGAGCTGTTTTATCTAACTGCCATCGCACCTGTGCTTGTAACAACTGTCAGAGTGTATGTGTGTGTGCTAGATTTCACTGTTAAGGACGGTTCACACACAGACGTGGTGCATGTGTGTGACGTTAAGAGAAGGAGAAGAGGGAGATGCTGCTCTGAGATGAGACAGGAAGCTGTCGTCAGAGTTTCAGGAAGTAGCTAGCCTCCCTGAGATGTGTGTGTGGATGTCTTGAGGAGGGGTGAGGGCATGGTAGAAGTTTCCTGTGGAACAGAAACGGTGTGTGTGAGAATGTGTGTGTGTGCGGACAAAATATGAATGTGTAAATATGTGGCTGAGTGAGAGTAAATGTGAGTCAATACAAAACAAATAACAGGGTTTCACTTCTAAAACATTTGAATTCATGTCAGACAGACATGACGTCATCCTGTCAACCACGTGTTTAAGCAAAGACTTAGACGCTCTAAAGCAGATGTCAACACAAACAGAACAGAGAAACCTAATTTGACTGGTAACTGACAATAAACAAGGCTGAAGGCTGCTTACGCAAAGGCAGTGTTTTTCTTGATTGTCTGCTAATAAAGTTAGGGGGCGCTGACTGACATGCGTGTCTGTTGACTAATGTTATTTCCAGTCAGTCACTCAAGCAGATGCCCTCAACATCTCTTTCGCAGAACAAGACTTCAAAAGAAGGGGTGACGTTCTTCTTTTCTTGTTTTCCAGAAACAGCATGACTTCAAGAGGGAGACAGGCAGTCAGACCAAGAGCCCATGCCTTCGTCTGAGCACTCACACACAGATGTGTGTGTCAGTGTGTGAAGCTTTGACTCACTATACGAATGTCTGTGAGAGACTGAAAACGGGATGTGACCATATAGAAATATGTTATGTGATATTTGTGCCGCCGAAATCTGAATGACCACATGCGTGCGTGTGTGTTTACGTTCACTATCGACAATTATAACACTCGATCAAACACACTCACTTTCCCGTTCCTTCACTTCAAAAAACCCAACCTGCCTTTCTTTGTCACAGGGAAACAGCATAAAACACAACACCCTGCTTTCTCTGTATGAGGGGACCAGAAAGGGACAGAACATCCCAAAGTCCCCCCTCCCCCAGCCAGTGCCTTCAGTACTACCCATGCCCTCACTTCCCAGAATTTAGAGCAAGACAGACACAAACAAACAAGTAAGCACCCTGATTAGTACCCCCAGAAACACACACAGGCAGACCACAACAGAGCCGAGACTGTTTCCTAGACAACGGTTGCCGTGGTATCGGTGGCGTCGCGGCAGACGGTTATTAAGGTGGAGAAAGAGAGAGACACAGAAATAAAGAGAAAGTACTTTCTCA